CTTGAGAGATTTCCCTTGGTACCATGTCACATACAATGCTAGGAGCTAAGTGCAATAAACCCTAATAACCAATGAGAATTTGCTTTTCCAAACACAGTGGATTGTAATTGGTTTACTACACTTACACACTTAAAGTGGTTTTAAATCTCGGATTTGAAATATGAACAAAGCTTCTCCCACTATTGTGTGTACTTGCCTCAATTAAGAGCACTAAGTGTCATTTCTGTCTGCTGCTTCATTCCTATGCTATCAGTATGAATCAATTCTGGCAAGTTTCCTGACAACAAGAGAAAAAAAAGGTGACGGGAGAAACCAGTGACAGCCTCAGCTTCATTCCTGTGTGCTGTGTGGAGGGGGGGTGTCCCTTCCCTCCAATCAGCTCTCAGAGCTCTCTTCACTGATGTAACTGTAGCTCTCCACCCCCTGCTTTTCAGTGCTGAGAGATGCTGTATAAACCTTGCACTTTGAATGGATGTAGGGAAAGACGACCATAGATACACAGGTACAACTTATGTAGGAGGATTTATTTCATCTCTGTGTATCACCTGAGGCCAGGCACTTCACTGAGTATATGTGAGGGTTTACAACCACTTTAAATGTTGTGAGTCAGTTACTTCCTGTGCTCATAGCTGACAGTTATCAGTTAGCATTGTTCCAGCCCTCTCTATGGACCAGCGTTTTTTAACCAAGATGCTGCAGCACTCTGGTATATCATCCACTATGATAACGCACTATGTCCGTTATTTATGCACAGAGTCATGCATTTTGATGGAGTAGAGGGACTGGACACCAGCACCATGGAAGCACATGATGCTAATCCAGGTGTGCAGTATTCAGGGCAGCCCCAGTATTGAGAAGGGAATGGAAGTCTGCCTCCATTTAGACTTGCTCCACCTGCTGCCCACTGCCATGCTGCCACAGCAGTGCTGAGGTGAAGACTGAAAGATAGGAGTCTCTTGAGAAAGGATTTGGGGGGGGGGGGGGGGGGCTGAGAGCTCTGATGTGAAGTGGGTTTGGGTGGGCTGAGGATTTTATTGTGAAAGGGGGTACTGAGGACTGTGATGGGGGAATGGTGGCTCTGGTGTGCAAAGGGGAGACAACTAAGGTCTCAGATGTGAAGGGGGAGAGGGGGCACTTAAGACCCCGATATGGGAAACAAAGGGAAACTGAGGACTCCGATGTTGAAGAGAGGGGAATTGTGGCTCTGGTGTGAAAGGAGGAGACAACTGAGATCTCTGATGTGAAGGAGTGGAGGGGTGTACTGAATAGCCTGATATGGGAAATGGGGGGGAACTGAGAACTCTGATGTGGGAAAGGGCGGGGGACTGAAGATTCTGATGTAATAGGAAGGGTGGGAACTGAATGTGACAGACCGAACCAGGACAGGGGCTTTTGGAGGGGACTTGGGACTAGCCTTCTACCCACTGTTTATGGTCCATGGAGAAGACCAATGATTCTGTCTGCTTCTCCCGGTCAGAGCATGGAAAATACCTCAGTTCAGCCTCTGATCACATGGAGAGAGCAGATCATTCTCTAATGATGGGCAACAATGTGATGAACGCTAAGAGCGAGACTTGGATTCATTTTCTGAATAGAGACAATAAAGCTTCCCTTCTGGAGTGGATGGAAAGGTGGGTTGAAGAAGCTCCTCCACTTGGGACAGAGATATTTATTAACAATATCCCTCAAGAAATCTATAAAGATAAATTAATTCCACTTTTTCAGACCGTTGGAATATTGTATGAGTTTTGTCTTATGATTTACAGTTTGCACAGGTGGAGGCAAGCCACCTGAAAGACATCATGTGTAATGTACTTTGTGTATTCAGGGTTGCTATTGCTGGACTGTCGTGGATGGGCTCCCTGACTGGTCTGGGTGCCTGGCTGTTGATTAGCTTACTGTTAATTAGATCACTGTTTAATTGTGCTACTGGTAGCTGCTGGCAGTTCATTATATGTACTGTTAGATATACTGATGATATTACTGTTTAAATGTTGCATTGTTTAGGATCATGTGATCAAGCTCTTATCTGATTTTGTGTGGTATAAATCCTGTGTGAATTTTCAATAAAAAGAGTTCCAGTTGAACCTAAGCTAGTGTCATCTAGTTCTTGGATGCAATGCCCAACTATAATACCTTGGTCCTGTGTCCCAGCAGCAAAGAAGTTGTTCTTTGACAGAACCACCCAGGCGCAGTGCCTGGCGGTCTGTCACACCCGAAGCTTTGTATGTGAGGAGGGAGGGATTGGGGACTCTAATGAAAAAGGGGGGACTAGGAATCTGATGTGAAAGAGGGTATTCTGATGTGGGGGGTCCCATTTTAGACTGGGGTGCCTTGAAATTTTGTATACATTCAAAAGGGTTCCATGAATGAAAAAAGGTTGAGAAACACCACTGTGAACTACAGAACGCCTCCTTCCTCCATGTAATAAAGCAGAGGAGAGGGAGACCTGTTCTGTAGTTCTGTCCTAAGGTGACAATGCGGCTCAACCATAGGTACAGTATGTAGCTGGTAGGATTACCAGGAGAAATTAATGGAAACCTACCCTGCAAAAAAAAATGAATGCATTCACCACATCTAGGGACTTTAAGATGCAGTATATTGTATTATTATTATTTAATTCCTGTTCAAGTGACCACACAAAAAGAAAGAGAAATCTCCATACTTTAACTACTTGCCTTGCAATTGGAAAGCGGCTAATTAGCAATTCAGTGTTCAAACCAGTGTCTAATACCTTGATAGTATAATGTCCCTGCCTGCCCTTTTTATAGGATCATGATGATTGGCAGCACAGCTTTTACATTACAAAACTGCAAAGCTCATGCTGCATCTGTTAGATTGGCTATTGGAGGATTGGGGACCACCTAAACAGAAATCTTTCCCAGAGAAAATATATATCTATATTTTTCTTCACTACATTGTATTTCTTTTCCTTTGTTTTGCTTCATACATCCCTGCATGTTTGTATTGTTTGCTGAACTTTTGGCAACAAGTTTCTTGCTGGCAGGAAAGTAAATTGGCAACCGTGTTATTTTTCCTAAAGTGAGTTCCCCAGCTGTCGACAGATGTCTGTCCTTTATCCTCCTAGGACACAGTTTTTGGATTCTGCTCACAGTATACACAAATATTCACAATACGATGGGAAGCGTTACAAATACACCTCAGGCATAATACTACTGTGCATTTTCACCTTTCTTTAATATCTGCTATGTTCTGAAAACGTAAAGGCTAGGGATTCTTTTTAAAATAACAGACTTCACAATGTGTTAAAAAACACAGTGTAGTATTGCAGCATTGTTCCTATTTTAACAAACTTACTGTCAGGGCTCCCAGGTATGACCAGAGGTGTGTGACTGAAGCAGGGAAACGCAGACCTCAGATATGTTATAAACAATATAATTTATTAACACTAACAGTACAAACATAAACGCAGTGCAATACTAAAACATAATACAGTGCAAACAAACCAAACCAAACTAACCACCCACAGATAACAGTATATACAAGCAAGCGTCGTCAGGCAGGCCGGGTCAATATCAATTGGGCAGGTAGGTACAGGGGGAGCAAGCGGAGAATGGTCGGGGTCACAGGCCAGGTTCAGCAGGTAGCAAGCAGCATAGTACAGAGGGTCAGGCAGAGGGATGGTCCGGGTCACAAGCCAGGGATCAGAAACAGGTAGCAAGCAGCGTAGTACAGAGGGTCAGACAGAGGGATGGTCCGGGTCACAAGCCAGGGATCAGAACAGGTAGCAGTCAGCAAAGGAACAGAAACAGGATGCAGGACAGATACAGGGCCCAGGACAAACACAACACCAAGGCAGAGTCTGCAAGTCTGGCCATCCCTTAAATACACCAGTATCATCATTCCAGGTGTTAGCTGGCTGAAAGGTTGAGTCTCTGATTGCTGGGAGCACCCGCTGGCCAGCCCTGGTACTGCAGATCAAAAGGCAGGTGAGTCCCACCATTGCTGGCCAGTCCATTCCTAACAGTACCCCCCCCTCAAGGAGCGGCCTCAGGACGCTCCAAACAGTCCTAGCTGGGCAAAATGTTCCACCGCCCGGGTCTGGCAACTGGCGGGATATCAAAGACTGGCACACTGGGCAGGACTCCGGGCAGCGGCACACCGGGCTGGACTCCGGGCAGAGGCACATCGAGCAGAGGCACACCGGGCAGAGGCACACCGGGCAGAGGCACATCGGGCAGGACTCCGGGCAGAGGCACATCGGGCAGAGGCACATCGGGCAGGACTCCGGGCAGAGGCACATCGGGCAGGACTCCGGGCAGAGGCACACCGGGCAGAGGCACATCAGGCAGGACTCCAGCAGAGGCACATCGGGCAGGACTCCAGGCAGAGGCACATCGGGCAGGATTCCGGGCAGAGGCACATCGGGCAGGACTCCGGGCAGAGGCACATCGGGCAGGACTCCGGGCAGAGGCACATCGGATTACCAGGCGAAGCAGCAGGCAGCGGGCCACCAGGCGGAGCAGCAGGCACCGGGCCCCCGGCGGGGCTACAGGCACCGGGCCCCCGGGCGGGGCGGCAGGCACCGGGCCCCCGGGCGGGGCGGCAGGCACCGGGCCCCCCGGGCGGAGCGGCGGGCACCGGGCCCCCGGGCGGGGCGGCGGGCACCGGGCCCCCAGGCGGGGCAATGGGCACCGGGCCCCCAGGCGGGGCGACGGGCACCGGGCCCCCAGGCGGGGCGACGGGCATCGGGCCCCCAGGCGGGGCGACGGGCATCGGGCCCCCAGGCGGGGCGACGGGCATCGTGCCCCCAGGCGGGGCGACGGGCATCGTGCCCCCAGGCGGAGCGGCGGGCGCCGGACCCCCAGGCGGAGCGACAGGTCTCGGGCCCTCAGGCGGAGCGGCGGGCGCCGGACCTCCAGATGGAGCGACAGATCTCGGGCCCTCAGGCGGAGCGGCGGGCGCCGGACCCCCAGGCGGAGCGACAGGTCTCGGGCCCTCAGGCGGAGCGGCAGGCGCCGGACCCCCAGGCGGAGCGACAGGTCTCGGGCCCTCAGGCGGAACGGCGGGCGCCGGACCCCCAGGAGGAGCGACAGGTCTTGGGCCCTCAGGTGGAGCGGTGGGCGCCGGACCCCCAGGTGGAGCGACAGGTCTCGGGCCCTCAGGCGGAGCGGCAGGCGCCGGACCCCCAGGCGGAGCGACAGGTCTCGGGCCCTCAGGCAGAGCGGCGGGCGCCGGACCCCCAGGAGGAGCGACAGGTCTCGGGCCCTCAGGCGGAGCGGCGGGCGCCGGACCCCCAGATGGAGCGACAGGTCTCGGGCCCTCAGGGCGGAGCGACAGGTCTCGGGCCCCCAGGCGGGGCGGCGGGCGCCGGATCCCCAGGCGGAGCGGCGGGCGCTGGACCCCCAAGCGGAGCAACAGGTCTCGGGCCCCCAGGCGGAGCGGCGGGCACCGAGACACCAGGCACGACAGTGGGCTCCGAGTCAACTGGTATGACCGCAGGCACTGGGTCAGACATTGGATGGTCTGGCTGGACAGCGGGCATCGGGTCACCAGGCATCAGGTCATTTGGCTCGACAGTGGGCACCGCGTCATCTGGCAAGGCAGTGGGCTCCGAGTCAACTGGTATGACCGCGGGCACTGGGTCAGACATTGGATCGTCTGACCGGACAGCGGGCATCGGGTCACCAGGCATCAAGTCATTTGGCTCGACAGCGAGCACCGCGTCATCTGGCAAGGCAGTGGGCTCCGAGTCAACTGGCATGACCGCGGGCACCGGGGCAGACATTGAATCGTCTGGCTGGACAGCGGCATCGGGTCACCAGGCATCAGGTCATTTGGCTCGACCGCGGGCACCGCGTCATCTGGCAAGGCAGTGGGCTCCGAGTCAACTGGTATGACCGCGGGCACTGGGTCAGACATTGGATCGTCTGACTGGACAGCGGGCATCGGGTCACCAGGCATCAGGTCATTTGGCTCGACAGCGGGCACCGCGTCATCTGGCAAGGCAGTGGTCTCCGAGTCAACAGGCACGACAGTGGGCACCGGGTCATCAGGTACCGGATTGTCTGGCTCGACAGCGGGCATCGGGTCATCAGGTATGACAGCGGACACTAGGTCACCAGGCATCAGGTCATTTGGCTTGCCAGCGGGCACCGCGTCATCTGGCAAGGCAGTGGGCACCGAGTCACCAGGTACGACAGCGGGCTCTGAGTCAATTGGCACGACAGCAGGCACCGGATCAGGTACCGGATCATCTGGATCAACAGCGGGCATCGAGTCAACTGGCCTAATAGGATCGTCAGGCTGGATCAGTTCATCATGCTGGGTAGAGGCATTAGGCCGAGTAGAGGCTTCAGGCCGAGTAGAGGCATCAGGCCGAGTAGAGGCATCAGGCCGAGTAGAGGCATCAGGCAGAGTAGAGGCATCAGGCAGAGTAGAGGCATCAGGCAGAGTAGAGGCTTCAGGCAGAGTAGAGGCTTCAGGCAGAGTAGAGGCTTCAGGCAGAGTAGAGGCTTCAGGCTGGAGAGAGGCTTCAGGCCGCGTAGAGGCTTCAGGCCGCGTAGAGGCTTCAGGCCGCGTAGAGGCTTCAGGCTGAGGAGAGGCTTCAGGCCGCGTAGAGGCTTCAGGCCGCGTAGAGGCTTCAGGCCGAGTACAGGCATCAGGCCGAGTAGAGGCATCAGGCCGAGTAGAGGCTTCAGGCCGAGGAGAGGCTTCAGGCCGAGAGGAGAGGCTTCAGGCCGAGAGAGGCTTCAGGCCGCGGAGAGGCTTCAGGCCGCGTAGAGGCTTCAGGCCGAGTAGAGGCATCAGGCTGCGTACAGGCATCAGTGTGAACCACGGAAGGCAGGCTCACCGGTTTGGATACTGGCAGGATGGTATTGGTTGGAAAGAATTTTCGCTTTTTTCTGGTTTTAACTACTGGAGCACTGCAAGTAAACGCAGGGTCTGCAAACGAATGGAGCAGCTGGAGACAGAGAAGAACTGGAGGATGGAACAGGAGAGGGAGCAGTTGCTACAGAGGGCATTTTTACAGGGTTAAAGGCAGGATAGGTGCAGCGAGTGGGAACAGGGTACTGACATGCGGTAGATAGCCAAGTATACTGGGCTGTAACTGGAGGAGCTGGTGGGAATACAGGAGTAGAGTTAGAAGCAGGACTGGGTCTTTGTAAGCTGACTGAGGCTGGGTGCAACAAGTCTGTCCATGTCTGCAGTATGGGTTGAACAAAGCTGAGCTTACACAAAGTCTGTCTGGTCAATGACTGCACTGCGTTTATACAATCTCTCAGTGTCTGTGGTGAACATGTGGAATAACGCTCCAGAAAGTAACCCACATCATCCTCTAATAACCACACCAGGGACTCTACCTGGTCTGCACTAAATGGTGGCAAAAATTCATCCCTGCATTCGGGGGAACCAGATGAAACCAACTCTGCACAAACCTCAATCAATGGCTGCACCTCAGAGAACACTGTGCCCTGATCTACTAGAACATGAGCGAGCCGTATACATTCTAGCAATTCATCCCGGGTATACTCCTTCAGAGTTTGATAAGCATACTCCCTGTCATCAAACACTAGCAGATATTAAATACTCAACCTCCTCAAGATCCATCCTTCCCATCAACAAGCCAAGATGGCTTCCCTGTGCAGCCACTTCTGGTCAGGATTGGCCTTGGTGTAATGTCAGGGCTCCCAGGTATGACCAGAGGTGTGTGACTGAAGCAGGGAAACGCAGACCTCAGATATGTTATAAACAATATAATTTATTAACACTAACAGTACAAACATAAACGCAGTGCAATACTAAAAAACATAATACAGTGCAAACAAACCAAACCAAACCACCCACAGATAACAGTATATACAAGCAAGCGTCGTCAGGCAGGCCGGGTCAATATCAATTGGGCAGGTAGGTACAGGGGGAGCAAGCGGAGAATGGTCGGGGTCACAGGCCAGGTTCAGCAGGTAGCAAGCAGCATAGTACAGAGGGTCAGGCAGAGGGATGGTCCGGGTCACAAGCCAGGGATCAGAACAGGTAGCAAGCAGCGTAGTACAGAGGGTCAGACAGAGGGATGGTCCGGGTCACAAGCCAGGGATCAGAACAGGTAGCAGTCAGCAAAGGAACAGAAACAGGATGCAGGACAGATACAGGGCCCAGGACAAACACAACACCAAGGCAGAGTCTGCAAGTCTGGCCATCCCTTAAATACACCAGTATCATCAGTTCCAGGTGTTAGCTGGCTGAAAGGTTGAGTCTCTGATTGCTGGGAGCACCCGCTGGCCAGCCCTGGTACTGCAGATCAAAAGGCAGGTGAGTCCCACCATTGCTGGCCAGTCCCATTCCTAACACTTACCATTAGGCCATGAGGGGCCAGACAGAAAAACTCTCAACTGAGGTGAACACCTCGTCCTTCCCAAGTTCTGGGATACAACCCCTTCATTAGGAGTTGTGAGCACTTCGGTGTCCCAAATCCACACCTCTGTGTTTGGAACATGGAAGCCTGCTAGCTCTTAGGATTCTGGGAGCAAGGTCCTAGTGGACCAAATTTGGGGAAATTTATGGCTTTCAGGAGATCACTCCTAGCATCTTAGGGCCAAACATGCTTCCCTTTTCCAAATGCAGAAGCATGAATTTGGTAGAAGCACTCACTTGGACAAGCTCATGGCCAGAGTGTCCTGGAACTTTAGCAGGACACCCCTGATCACCTCAGTGGGAGTTTTTCTGACAGACTTTGGAGATGTCCCAACAATATGAGCACAAATAAAGGCAGACTTGAGTAGTCCACAGTTCACGGCTGGGGACCATGAAACAATAAAAGCAGAGAAAGTGGCTTTACTCACTGGATCCTGGTACACAGACAGACCATAGGTGCAGCCTCTTGCGCAGTAGCCCAACAATTGGTCCAAAAGGCTCCAAGGACAATCACCCACCTCTCCCTCCCTCAGCTCACAGATCCATTTCCCTGGGGGAAAAAAACAGCCCGGCTACCTTTTTGGCACAGCTCCAAAGGGATTGGCTAGACCCTGCTCAATATTCAGAGTGGTCATTTGAATTCTCCCTTCCCAGGTTCCAGAAACTGATTCTAGAGGCAGGGGGAAGCAATCAAACTCTCAGCCTGTGAAGCGCCAAACAGACCAGAGCAAACAATCACTGCACACGTGATTAAAGCAGAAGCCAAAAGCTAAATTTGCCTAGCAGCCTAACCAGGAGGGTTTTACACTTTTAAAAGAGTGGCCTTTCACCACAGACTCCAAAAAGCATCATCCACACTGACCATTCGAAGAATGGCTCTTTAAAAAGCTTAAAAGAGTCTAAACCAAGGGATAACAGAATGGAAAGTGATGCTGCTCTTTTAGGGTAAAGACTGTAAAAGAGCATAATATAGTTAAATAATCAAATCAGTTACATTTATAAATAATATTATAAACTACCACCAACTAATAAACCATAAATAGATGCACAATATGTCAGTATTTATTAATTCATGGCAATTCAAGCCAAACATGTATGAATAAAAAAAAAACTAAAAATGTTACTTATAAAACAATTGCAAAAAAACATAATAAACATCTCTGTAGATTTATAGTAAATATACAAAATGATTTAATGTAATAAACAAAACGTTCAAGTTGATTTTGTTGCTATTTTTTGTAAGAGGTGTTATTGTGGCAGGGTCTAAGTAATGGGCTTATTGTACCCTGGGCAGAACAGTTGCTTAGTGGTTAGCACTTCAGCCTTACAGTGCTGGGGTCCCTGGATTGAATGCCAACAAGGACACTATCTACATGGAGTTTGTATGTTCTTCTTGTGCATGTATGTATACTCCAAAGACCTACTGGTAGGCTAATTGGCTCCTGTAAAAATTAATCCGCTGCCCTTCCCTCCTCCTACCACTCCATCCCCCACAGCCATTTCCTCCTGTACCTCTACCCCCTCTCTCCTAGATTGTAAGCTCGAAAGAGTAGGGCCCTATAAACCCTCGTGTGCTGTTTGATGTTACTGTACTTTTCATGTATTGTCCCCCCCTCTATTGTACAGCGCTGAGCAAACCCTTTGGCGCTATAAAAACTCGATAAATAAATAAATGCATGTGAGATAGGGACCTTAGATTGTCAGCTATTTGAGGACAGGGACTGATGTGAATATATAACATGTAAACAGCTGCACATTGCTGGTAATATATAAATGCCTGTATTAATATATATATATATAATTTATTAGCAGCTCCTTTATAGTTCTTCTTTATATTTCCCGAATCACCCCCCTACTGAACGACATTTCAGACTGGATGTCACTTCACTTTCTCAAATTAAACCTTTCCAAAACCGAGCTCCTAATTTTCCCCCCAGCCCATGCACCCCCCCCCACCCTCTCCATCACGACCAACAACGCCACCATCAGTCCCACCCCGCAAGCCAAAGTCCTAGGTGTCACTCTATACTCAAAGCTTCCAACCTTCGAAAAACCTTTCGGGGTTGTCCTTCCAACCCCAGGTCCAATCGCTGGCAAACTCATGCAGACTCCACCTCCGCAACATCTCCAAAATACGTTCGTTCCTAACCCCAGACACTACTAAACAACTCATTCACTCCCTTATTATCTCACGAATCGACTACTGCAACTCCCTCCTCTCCGGCTTACCTCATCACAGACTATCCCCGCTTCAGTCTATCCTGAACTCAGTGGCCAGACTCATCCACCTTACAACCGCTCCACTTGTGCCACCCCCCTCTGTCATTCCCTCCACTGGCTCCAGATTGCCAAACGCATTAAATTCAAACTACTAACATTGACGTACAAAGTCATTCATAACACTGCCCCAAACTACCTTACCGACCTGATACCCAAATACCACCCTACCCATAATCTTCGCTCCTCACAAGACCTCCTACTTTCTAGCTCCCTGGTCTCCTCCTCCCACGCCCAACTGCAGGGCTTCTCCAGGACTTCCCCCATCCTCTGGAACTCACTACCCCAATCCATCAGACTGTCACCTACCCTTCTCACCTTTAGGCGCACCCTGAAAACCCATCTCTTCAGGGAAGCCTACCCCACCCTCACCTAACAGCCGATCTCCTCCACTCCTCCCACCACTCCATCCCCCACAGCCACTTCCTCCTGTACCACTATCCCTTCCCTCCTAGATTGTAAGCTACAAGTAGCAGGGCCTTCAAACCCCTCGTGTATTGTATTGTT